ACCCACACCCACACCCACACCCCCACCCACACCCACACCCACACCCACACCCATACCCACACCCACATCCACCCACACACCCACACCACACCCACACCCACCCACACACCCACACCCCACACCCACCCACACCCCCACACCCCATGTCATCTTGAATATCGTAGGGTGTGGGTGGGTACCAGTAAACTCCTCATCCATATCCACGCCCACACACCCACACGCACACCCACACCCTTACGGAATCTTTAGTCTAGTAACGGATGGTGCATAATAAACGGCCCACTTGATTACATGTCTTCGGAGAATATCCCTGGAAACTCGATTATGCCCTAGGGTAAGAGGTATAGAGATAGATAGGTATAGTAGATATAGGAGGTATAGGAGATATAGTAAAACGTTATTTATTTTTTGTGATTGAATTTTTCGAGCAAGGGTCGTATAGGAGATATAGTAAACAGTTATTTTTTTTTATTGATTTTTTCGAGCAAGGGTCTGCAAGTGGCACCAATATATTTTATGAATAAATGTGTAAATTCAAACACTATTGAATGATTAGCTGTATCACTTAATCAATATCTCCTATACCTCCTATATCTCTTATATCTCCTATACCTCCTATATCTCCTATATCGTCTATACTTATCTATCTCTATACCTCTTACCCTAGGGCATAATTGAGTTTCCGAGGATATTCTCCGAAGACATCATATGGCCCACTTTTGTTTTCTTTCTTTTGAGGCAATTAAAATCGGCTTCTCAGTTCATTCGATAAAGAAATCATCACTTTACAAAACTGTCGACTTCATTTTTCAAATTGATTTTTCTTATTGATTCAAAATTCAAAACCCCTAACACCTACTCAGTTGACTAGAGTGTGGGTGTGGATGAAGAGAAGACCCTCACCCATACCCTTCGGAGGAGTCCTTTGTTGAAGATATATTGCTAAATAAGTAATAATGAAGTAACGTGCACTAGCACACAGAAGGAAAGAGTGGTTTTGGAGGGATAATAAGAAGGGGCGCATCGTATTTCAGATTTTAATCCTACAGGGATTACGCTACCAGCTTTTTAATACTTCTTTATTTTTAACATTCATCGTATAAATATTATTATTAAATAAGTTTTTTACAACATTAGAATGTTAAAGGAATCAAATAAATTGATAGAAAAGTAATTATAAATATGAAGTTCCAATAAAGTAAAATTTCAGAGCACGCCTAGCAACTATTTTATAAATTCTTATAATTCTGACTTATTCATTTATTTGATAGTTTGTTAAAAATTTATTTTAAAACTTCTGACAAAATATCTTGACAGTCAGAGATTCTGAATTCCACACTTTTGCCCCACGAAGGGTTCGCATTGACAAGTCTTGTTACAATCTGTGTGTGTGCACACAAACAGTTCTAGACGATTCTATTGAAATATTCATTAATCACTGTCAGTGGAGTACCGAGTATCGTACGATTAACTAATGTGATAAGAAATGATCCATCACTCTATCGAGTCCATAGTTTAATTGGTCTATTAATCTTTGATTTGTCGGATGTACTTTGATGGCTAGCTTGATTGCTTTCATATAATACTCGAAAGCTTTCCTATATTGTCCTTGATTGTAAAACACAGATCCTATTGTTCTATAGATTCGAACCAATATTGGATGGTCATTCTTAACACAATGCAGAATCGTTTCAGACTTTTGAAAATAGTCTACAGCTGTCTCGTACTTCATTTGAGCATTGTGTATAATTCCAAAAGTTTCGAACGATAAACTGATATCGACATCGTCAAGAGATAATTCAATTGTTCTTAAATCAAATGCTTTCTGACAATAATATTCGGCTTCTTCAATGAACCCTTGGGCACACTGTACACGAGCAAGTGTGTCATATGGAAATGCAAACTGAAAATGACTATCACCATTTTCAGTATATATAGATCTTAGGATAGTGAGGCTATGTTGAAGATAATGTGTCGCTCGATCTAATTTTTCCAAACGATAGCAGCAGCAACCAAGATTTGCATTGATCGTAGTTAATACTAGAGATTTATCAAAATGATGTTTTTGAAATATACCCAGAGCAGCTTCAAAGTGTCTTACAGATTCATCATAGTCGAGCAGTGCTGAATAGATACAACCTAAGGTATTATAGCCATTTTCAAGCGATGGATTGGTCGGATGGCATACAGTTTTGTCTAATTTCCAATGATAACTTGGCATATTCAAGAGCTTTGCCATATTCTCCTGTTTTTATATAGCGATCTGATAGATTATTATAAATGTGGGCTAGGTCTTCATGATATTTTGGCAATGCCGCCTTACCAATATTCAAAGTTCGATGGAAGTAGTCAAGTGCTGCAGTAAAATTACTCAAAGACGAATAAGCAACACCCAAATTTGAATATGTGGGAATAAGAGCCAGCGATTCCGATGTCATTATTTCTAATTTAGTACTTAATGCCTTTTCAAAATAAGAGATAGCTTCTCGATATGAATCATTTTTCAAGTATACAGTTCCGATGTTGTCATAAGTTGTACTAATGAGCTCCTTAGTTAAACATTCAGATTCTTGATAATAAAGAATATCGAGCGCTTGTTTGTAATATTTCAACGCTGTCGTATGATTGTGCAGGCATCCATGAGTTATAGCAATATAACTCAAAAGATGAAACAAGTCTATATGAGTTGGCGGTAAATTACGTTGTAAAATTATCAACGATTTTTCGTAATATGTTAAGGATTCATTAAAATTCCCAAGCTTGTAATCGTTTCTTCCAAACTCAAAGTAAATATGACCAAGAGTACTACTATTAGGTTGCGAATTAAGCTTTACGCGATTCAATTCAACTTCCAATGCTTTTTCTAAATAGCTTCGTGCAATTATGAAATCTCCTCTAGCACCACCATAGACTCCTCCGATAGAAGCATATAATTGACTGAAGAGCAAATTGTGTTCAGGTAAATATTGACGCCACATTTTTTCCGCGTTAAAATAATAGGCAACGGCTTGTTCGTCGTAATTTTTCTTGCAGAATAAATTACCAAAATTATAACAACATAAACCCACCGCCATTCGATTTCTTGGTTTTGCTTTCAAGCAATACTCAAGATTCATATCCATCGCTTTCCAAGCCTTATAAATCTCATCATGACTCAAGTAAGTCATACCTAAGAAATAATAGCACTTGGCAATCTTTGGATGACCTAAAGCATAACATTGCAAATAAATTACGAGAGATTTTCACCAAACTTTAAAGCAGTGTAATATTTTCCTTGCTTACAGTACGCATTGGCTATACTGAGGTAAATCCATCCCAACCGCCTCATCACACGACGAAAGATGTCCTGTAAAAATTTTGAGAGCTGTTTGACAATAGTCGAGAGCCTCTTTATCCTTGTCTTTATTACCGAATATGGTACCTAAGGCGATGTAACAATAAGCAAAAAGTATCATTTAAAATTGCCTCATTTCGTCACTATAAATAGCATCGATTTCATGGTCAATCATCGTTATTGTTTTATACATAAACTCCCATGCAGTCTCACTCAAGCCGTATTGAGCCCTTAAAGTGGCAACGTTGATCAACATCTTCGCACCCACTGGTAAAAACTAACATGGAATGAGACTGAAACATGTTTGAAAGTACTTAAAAGCACTTCAAAGATCAGTATCGTTGCCCTCCATAATGTATACAGCTACATTATGGAATAGAGAAAGAGATTTCGAACGATGCGCCGATGACTTCAGTCGAATCTCATTATCACATATTTCAGCTGCTTAATGTGACTCTCCCATATGATTTCTTATTGCTACCTATGATTCTACAGCTACCTAATGAATTCTATGGCTATTTAATGAATTTCTGTAGCTATTTAATCATTTCCTATACCTACTCAATGAATTCCTATAACTACTTAATGCTTTCTTATTCCTACCTATGATTCTACAGCTACCTAATGAATTCTATGACTACTTAATGAATTTCTGCAGCTACTTAATGATTTCCTATAGCTACTAAATCAATTCCTATAGCTACTAAATGAGTTCCTATAGCTACTTAATGCTTTCTTATTCCTACATATGACTCTACAGAAACCTAATGAATTCTATGGCTACTTCATGAATTTCTGTAGCTACTTAATGATTTCCTATAGCTACTAAATCAATTTCTATACCTACTAAATGAGTTCCTATAGCTACTTAATGATTTCTTATTCATACCTATGATTCTATGGCTACTTAATGAATTTCCGTACCTATTTAATCATTTCCTATACCTACTAAATGAATTCCTATACCTACTTAATGATTTCTTATTCCTACGCGTGATTCTAGAGCTACCTAATGAATTCTATGACTATTTAATGAATTTCTGTAGCCATTTAGTCATTTCCTACAGCTACTAAATGAATTCCTATAGCTACTTAATGCTTTCTTATTCCTACATATGACTCTACAGAAACTTAATGAATTCTATGGCTACTTAATGAATTTCTGTAGCAATATAATGATTTCCTGTAGCTAGTAGATGAATTCCTATAGCTACCTAATGATTTCTTATTGCTACCGATGATTCTACAGGTACTTAATGAATTCTATGACTATTTAATGAATTTCTGTAGCTATTTAATCATTTCCTATTGCTACTAAATGAATTTCTATAGCTGCCTAATGCTTTCTTAGTCCTACCTATGATTGTGCAGCTACCTAGTGAGATCTATGACTACTTAATGAATTTCTGTAGCTATTCAACGATTTTCTATAGCTACTAAATGAATTCCTATAGCTACTTAGGGGTCCGGGTCACTTGGCCGACAATCACTTGACCGACACCATTTCGCCGACAAATTGTTTGGCCGACATGTACACTTCACCGACAACTCATTTGGCCGACAAATATTTGAAGTAAAAAAACAAATGAAATTTCTTGAAAATATTGCGTCAGAAAATCTTTTTATTAAAAGTCACAAATATTTATAATGAAAGATTATAGGCAATGGCTCGAAGAAAATCGAACTTATCTCACGAGTAACATTTTGTTAGCGGGAGACTTGTTTTAAGTGATAAAAAATTGTCATCTGATTTTATTTTGAAAAATGTTCACTATTTATCGGTGAATGAGTCGGAAAAATTCACGCAATATTTTCAAGAAATTTCAATTTTTTTGACCTCAAATATTTGTCGGCCAAATGAGTTGTCGGTGAAGTGTACATGTCGGCCAAACCATTTGTCGGCGAAATGGTGTCGGTCAAGTGATGTGTCGGCCAAGTGATTGTCGGTCAAATGAACGCGACCCCTACTTAGTGATTTCTTATTCCTACATATGACTCTACAGCAACTTAATGAATTCTATGGCTACTTAAGGAATTTCTATAGCTATTTAATCATTTCCTATAGCTACTAAATGAATTCCTATAGCTACTTAATGCTTTCTTTTTCCTACGTATGATTCTACAGCTACCTAATCAATTCTATGACTATTTAATGAATTTCTGTAGCTATTAAATCATTTCCTATACCTTCTAAATGAATTCCTATACCTACTTAATGATTTCGTATTCCTACCTATGATTCTACAGCTACCTAATGAATTCTATGGCTACTTATTGGATTTCTGTAGCTATTCAATGATTTCCTATAGCTACTAGATGAATTCCTATAGCTACTTAATGATTTTTTTATTCCTGCATATGACTCTACAGCAACTTAATGAATTCTATGACTACTTAATGAATTTCTGTAGCTACTTAATGATTTCCTTTAGCTAGTAGATGAATTCCTATAGCTACTTAATGATTTCTGATTCCGACATATGACTCTACAGCAACTTAATGAATTCTATGACTACTTAATGAATTTCGGTAGCTATTTAATCATTTCCTATAGCTGCTAAATGAATTCCTATAGCTACTAAGTGAATTTCTGTAGGTAATTAATGAATTCCAATAGCTACTTAATGGTTTTCTAGAGCTACTTAATGAATTCTATAGCTACTTAATGAATTTCTGTAGCGATTTAATGATTACCTATAGTTACCTAAGGATTGGACAGCTACTGAATGAATTATATAGCTACTTTATGATTTCTTATAGCTGCCTAATGATGGGACGGTTGAAGTGGAGAGAATTCATATATTCAAAATTTGAATATCTCTTGGGTTCCCCAAAATATTCGAATATTGATAAAAAGAATTTTTTTTAATGACATAGCTTGAGCAGGGAGACCGTTGAAATGAAGAAAATCAAATATTCATAGTTTTAATTTTAATTGGGTCTATGAAGTAAACTCCGAATATTGATAATGTTAATCTCTATTGGGTTCCCAAAAATTTTGGAATATTTATAATATTTTTGTGAATGATATAATCTGAGCATTGGGCGTTTGAATGGAGAGAATTCAAATATTCATAATTTTAATTTTAATTTGGTTTTGATGAAAAATGCAAATATTCAAAATATGAATAGCTATTGGAGTCGTTAAAATGTTCGAATATTCATAAAATTAATCTTTTTAATGATATAGTTGGAGCAGGGAGATGGTTGAAGGAAAAAATTCAAATATTTATGATTTGACTTCGTATGAATGATTAAGTTTCATCATTAGGTTTCTAAAAAAATTCAATTAAAAAAGTTCGGTATTCACAATTTGAATTCCTATTGGGTTCATAAAAATATTCATGAGTTGAATTACTTTTAGATACTTCAATTGGCACAAGAGGTTCGTCAAAAAAGTATAAATATTAATAGCTTCAATGTCTATTTGGTTTGTAGAAAAATATTGATTTCTTTAATCTAAATCATTGAAGAGTTTTATGAAATAAAAATTCATATATTCGTAATTGGAATCCGTATTTGGTTTGTAATAAAGAATTCAAATATTTATAATTTGGTTTGCTACTTGGTTTAAAAAAATTCTAAAAATGATGACTTTTATGGCATATTGGTTTTTCAAAATATTTCATTTATTCTTCTTCATAATATTATGAGCCATTCAGATATGGATTCTTTGTGCGATTATGCTAAGTATTTTAACTATACATAGTAGCGAGAAAAGTAGGAGAGCACAATATTAAGTTGTGAGCCACAGACAAAAAATACAAATATCTTAGAGATCTATTAGCTAGTCAAATAATCGTCAGTATAAAGCTTTTCAATATTTAAGAAATCATATTTATAGCCATGAAAAGATTATAATAGCTATAAATAATGAAGGAAATATTTCATATCGTTTAAATGGC